GTTTCGTACCAAGGGCTTTCAGTTAAATATCCCTATGTGGCTATGTCAGTTCTTACAATTCTTGCTAGAAAAAAGGGTTATGATAAATATATTGTACGCTGCCGCCACCACATAGCTGGTTTAGAAATATTTTGTAAATTATTCCAACTCCCTCTGTATTTTGTTGGTAATTTGCATCGCATTACAGAATGGACTCGTCACAGGATAATGCATGATAATTGTTAACAAAAGTTCCGCCGTCACGTCGTCGTCCATTTTTGTGCTAATTCCACGTGAGAATTCCGAGAGTTTCAAACTGGTAGGTATTGCGAAATTTTCAAATAATTTAACATTATCATTTTACATTGAAGGTTCGAGGATTTTTAACTTTTTGCATTTTTTAAATTATGACCGACACATAGGTAGGCAGACACGTATGAATTGATTTGACAAATTTTAATCTCTAAAGTAAGCATAATTTTTCTGATGGAAAAATAAATACCAAAATGAAGAAATTTTATTCATCTTAAATCGCCTATACATATAAGTATAACCTACAACACAATTGTGTAATATCACAAAATATACACCGTATAATAGTTACACACAAACTGACAAACCAAAACTCTCCTTTCATTCATCATATTCATCTAAATTAAACTCCGGAGTTGGTGACGTAATTTCTGTGACGTCCTCATCATCCCTTTTATTATTCGGGTTGATCATGTCTAGCAGATCCACCTTCTGCATGGTGACCCTAACCAAATCCTTTAGAATCTTCCTGATATCATTATCCTGTGCGATCAAACCTTTTATCTTCTCTTTGGTGAACCCTGCAGAGAAGTCTCTTCTTGTCTGCGGTGGTATTGGTATCTTGTTTGGCGGAAGCTTGACCTTCTTCTTTCTTCTTTGTATCATTTGCTGTTGCATACCCATCCCTGGCTGATGAGGTAGTTGCCCCATTGGTGGTAATGGTTGCATGGGCATGGGCACGGGCTGCATGTGGTTGATGTGCTCCGTCTGTCTCATGTAACCTGGTGATGGGTTGCTTCCACCGCATTCGTTACCGCAGGTTAAGGCGCAGCACATCTTCGGGAAAGGACAGTCTGACTGCCTGGGAGGTGGCGGTGGTGGTGGTGGGGGTGGTGGTCTTGGTTCATATTGCAGTGGCGCTGGTTTTGGTGTGGTCTCCGTCTTACCCTGCCTCTGACAATCCTTGTAGTAGAGGAGGTTCTCTATGCTGTCCTCATCTGAAGATGATGATTTGTATTTCTTCGACCTCGATTTTGATTTAACGACATGTGTCATGTATATGGTTAGTATAAACTGCAACAAAATATTTTATAAGAGTCTGCTAGTTGTCATAAATTAATAATTTATCTAGTCGATTTTCTAAATTCTTATATGTAAAGTAATTTGAGCATAAAGCAATAAGCTTATATATTTATATGATGCAAATAATTACGTCAAATGTGTCTAAAAATAAAGTTAAAATGGATAGATATTACACAAATAGGTCTACTTTATAAATCTAATTAAGAATAGTAAATATACGCTGATTTAATATTGTGCCAGTATACTTTTTGCAAGAATAGCCATAAAAGCTAAATAACATACACAACTTCCAATACTACGGCATAATAAAACGTTATTCAAATGTAATATACAGGTCTCAACAATATTTTATATGTTAAAGTTCTAATAAATAACAAATAATTGCTTACAATACAACCTGGACAATGAATAAAGAGACAACATTATAACATCGGGTACCTCGCTTCACTGTAAGCATTTCGGGTACAGTACAGAACAGTAGCAGCGCGACAGTCGCAGCATCGCGGGTCGCGAAAGGCTGCTCATAAATATGAGCCACTAGCATGGCTTGAAACTAGTCGAGTTCCTCGTAAAATTATTACGTAAGTAAGCCGAAAACATAATAATTTATTTAGTTATTTAGTATGTCTCACAAAAGTTACAATACAAAGATAGACAGAGTTAGTAATATTTCTTAGTACTTACAATTTGAACAAAGTCCATTATTCCACACAGTTCGCATTGATGCAGTGGCTTGCACATGCGCTATCCATAGACTGGGGCTCGAAGGAAATCGTATAACGATGTTTTGTAAACACGAAGAACTATTTGTCAAAAATCGATTTGTTTTTCACCTTACATCGCTTAGATTGATGGCCTATTTATTTTAGTTTTTAAGCAATATAACCCTGAATTCGATGCTATTTTGATTAAGCGGTACACGCACCTATTTGACCTACTGTATTGTTCGTAACGAAAATTATTGGGAGTGTTTAAAGTTACAGTATTTTAAACGATATTTTCTTAGATTGAATGGGTGCTCTTTACAAAAACTATGGATGATGTGTAAGTAGAACATAGTCAAAGTAGGCCATAAAGCAGTCTTTTTTCGTTTTAGTTAATCAACGATAACAATGGAATTCTACCTCCATCTTAAGCGTTATCGGAAAACGGGACAATTTACAAAATAGTGTTAGTTTTTGTATTTTTTACACACTGTTTTAACCGTTTATCCTACATTCTTATGAAGGTAAATTTTAGTCGAGTTTACTGGTGATTCAATTGACACATTTCTTTGCTTAAACTGCTAGATAGAAATTCATACATAGCAATGTATTATGTACTTTTTTTTAAGGGGGGAAAATCATCGAATGACTGCTCCCGCCTGGGTGAGGCGGGAGGGAGTGTCAGACTCTTACTGACTAAAAACCACCCCGTTCCTTCTCCTGCACGTCGAGCCGGAGCCCCGGTTACCCGTTAGGTTCTCCGCAACAATGTATTATATAGGTACTAGTGGACAAACTCAAGATTATTAACTTAATAAGTCCTATATTTAATTCAAGCATTTTCATAAAATGGTGATAAGTAGGACCTATTATATTCTCAAGTCCAAGCTAAATACAGTGTTTGAATTCGATTTTATTGTAATTTCGTTGCTGGAGTGGTCGAATTAGCCTCGTGGGTCGAGTGGTCGTAAGTGCGACTGCCGTGCAAGGGGTTTCATCTTCAAATCCCCAGGGCAGGCAAATTATTACTGGGATTATTAAAAAAAATCTTAGTAGTAGCACGGGGTTTGTAATTGTGCCCAAATGGCAATAGGCTCACCCCCTATTACATGGGCGTCGAAACACAAATAGTGAAAAGTCGATGTTACATTGTATAGTTGCACTAAGTGCAGTAATTTGCACCTCTGCCTACCCTAGTGTTCAGTTTAGAAGTATTAAGTTTATCAGAGAGCGCTACTGCGCGGTCTCTTTTCTAATGTGTAGTCCCTTAAGACACTCGCGGGAAAAGAAAAATATGGGTAGATACTGATGAATATATCCAATTCTCCTGTCGCTACACAACTAAAGCACAGCAATTTTGGACACAGGATAGCATTAGAAAATAATCATATTATCTTATTAATTTATGTTATAAATACAAAAGGTAGTATTTTCATTTGTTAATCTTCACGTCAAAACAGCTGTAGGGATCGAGATGAAATTAGGAACAGGGGTAGATTATACTCTGAAGTAACACATAGGCCACTTTTAATCCCACGGAGCAGCAGAAGAAGGCAGAACCTAGTAAATAATACAATTCAAATTGCATCATTCAGTTCAAGCGGTTGAATGTATGAATAGACCGATTAAGTTAAACCATTGACTTTGTTAAACTACAGAGCTTATATCGATCAAAATCACCGCCTATAATCTAGTACATAAAGCAGTGTTAATGAAACGAGTACAAAATAATTACAACAGTTCGTTATCAGTTCATAATAAAATGAAAACGATAATATATGTTTATCAAAGTTATTATTAGCGGCCACTCAGTGAGCGAGCACTTGAAGTGTATTTATTACATTGCTGTCATGATATCGACTTGTTTTTCATTCAGTTGTTGTTTTCAGGTTGTTGCTAACTCTATCATTGGTTAGTAGTTATAGGCGCAATTGCGAAGCTAAAGATATGTAGTTCAAACATCGGTCGGAGTGTTATTATGGGTTTTCACAATTACATAGTCGTAATTATGACTACTTTACTAATTGTTGATTAAAAATATATGATTGAGTTTTTCGGTTTCCAAATTCAGTTATAAAGTATTTTATACCTTACGGTGCAAGTATGTGGTTGTGGTTACCTTAGTACATTCTCTGTTACTTTAGCGACCAGTGACAATAATGTTATACCTACATAGCTGAGCTCGCTGCCATCGCAACGGTAAGTCCCCTCTTTGAGGAGTGGCTTGACAGACGCTACGGCGTCCTCACCTACCGCCTGACGCAGGTCCTCACCGGACATGGAAGTTTCGGGAGGTACCTGTGTCTGATGGGGCGGGAGGAAACGCCCGGATGTCATCACTGCGAGGACCGCCCTGAGTACACGGTGGAACACACTGTAGCGGAATGCCCTGCGTGGGCTGAGCACCGCCGTGCCCTCAGGGAAGTGATCGGCGATGGCGACCTCTCGCGTCCGGGCCTAGTGCAGGCTATGATGTGGAGCGAGGGGACTGGGATGCCATCTCCTCCTTTTGCGAAGCAGTCATGCTAGCTAAGGAGAAAGCGGGACGCGTGAGGCAGCGAAGCGCTGCCTCCTCGCAACCCAGCCATCGCGAAGGACACACCGGGCGTCGGGGATCGCGGCCCGATCTCCGGCCACCGTAAGCGCGGGCCTGCGGACGGCGAGCATGGGTGGCTCCCCGTCCGACCAGAAACAGACCCGAACGTACGGCGCGTCGCGTTACGCGCGCGCCTCAAAGAGCCATCAGACCACCACAGATGGGGCCCAATACGGCCGATGCCGATTCAGAGTCGCGGAGAACCTAACGGGTAACCGGGGCTCCGACTCGACGTGCAGGAGAAGGTCTGACACTCCCTCCCGCCTTACCCAGGCGGGAGCAGTCATTCGATGATTATGCCCCATATAAAAAAAAACCTACATAGCTACCTCCACCATTAGGGAAATAACTACAAAAATAAAACCGACCGATTAAAACACATGAAGATGTTTATTGACCTCTAAGTCTTCTATCAGGCTAACAACTCCTTCTCGAGTTGTGACATCTTAATCTGCTTGGCTTTCATCCTTTTCTTGTAGGCCTGTACCTCATTCAGGATGTACTGGTGGACAGCAGTGAAGTGGACATTCCCTCGCATACTCTTACTACGCTTCTCATTCAAATCCTGACAATAATGATACCACCATGGTAAAACAACGTAATGGGCCGCCGGCTGCAGGGACATCTCAGAGCAAAACTCTTGGTTAGGGATCTTGAACTTGGCTTGAAGACTCAGGGCCTGATCAAAAAATTCTTTTGGCAGCACAAAGTCGTTATTCTTGCGAGTTAATCGTGGTTTGCTGGTGGGGACCAGACGGCTTTCTATCACCGTCAGGTGGATAATACTGATGATTAGAAGCTGGGGACAAAATTGGTGATTAATGTTGAAAGTCATAAGTAAAATAGGTATTACATATGTAAGTGTCTTCATAAAATAAGTGCTTCAAATATGTTACTTAACTAAAAAATATCGAATTATCAAAAAACGTACCCATAGTATTTTATTCCTTGGTTCACACATGGATAGCTGAACAATCATTTCAAAAAATATCCCACAAAATACAATATCACATGTTAATTACAAATTACAATGAGTAATGTTTTACACTTTGTTAAAACAATTAATTACATCTTCCTGCACGTGTGCAATATGCAATAAAATGTAAAATTAATTCAGATACACGTGCCTAATATTTAATCATTAGTATTAAAATAATTATCGAATTTAATGTAATTTTCTGTCAACTGCCTGATTTTATTTGAAAAGATTAAACAAAAATGGCTAACTTTTAGGATTACGCGAAATCGTAAAATAATATTATGTAAACGTAACGTAGCCTTATTCAAGGCCAAAGTTCATGATCATATTACAACCTAAATCATTTTGAAACAAGAAAAAATAACCTTAAAGAAAGACTAATATTTCTTTTAACTGATACTAAACTGTGGGAACTCTGGCCAAAAATACGAAGAATATTTCTCCACAGATAACAAATAAAATTTAATATAAATAGTACGTGTGTAAAGGGAAAATGGCGCCAAAACTCTGGGGTTATTGCGACTGCAAAGGTGTTATATTTGTCTATGGATATTTTTCTTTTTTTCAACCGAAGCGTCTTCACCCCCAAAATATTATGTATGCTTACATGGTATTATTTTTTGCAACTCGTCCTTGATTTCACGCTCTATATATTTTTGTATTTGTTGTTTAACTGTAAGATATTGGAATGGAGGGAAAGGATCGTAACTCATTGGTGGAAATTTTGTTTCTTAAAATTCTACACGTCCCAACTTAGACAAATGATATTTAAATAATAAGTATATAGTTAAACGAGTGATTAATTTTTTTTTCTGGTCAATCACTTGATTAGATTGATTCGATAAACACAACCATCGAAAATTGAGTTCCTACCTTCAGTAAAAAGCTTTCCCACTACTTTATATGAAAGTATCCATAGAAAGTGTTTTTATTTAAAAAGTTTTACATTTTAAAACAACAAATATTTACAAAATGTGGTCTGAAAGGAACTTTAAACTCTATTATCTAAATTCTAAAAGGTTGAAACTAACTTGAGTACTTAAAGACTTCGTCACCATTAACCGAAAGGTCACCCATCAATAATTGATTTAATTTTGTTAATAATCCTCCATGCCTCCATCTTGGGGATGTGATATAGGTATAATATTGTGTAAGTGGGTTTTTAATCTGCATAGACTATTTATTGCACTATTATGCCCATGTCAAAGGAGAAATATACCTACCTAATGGTGTGGTTCCACGTTTAAAAAACTGGGTACTATTTAAAAAGGTATTCAAAAGTCAAAAGTCAAAAGTCAAAGCATTTATTTCAATTAAACCATAGTTTGGTACTTTTGAAACGTCAACAAATACAAAATAAATAATAGTCTGTCAGTCAGTCCGTCAGTGAAGCTAGGTGAAGCTAGGTGCTCATTCCAAAACGTAGATTCGAATGGAGAAGAACGAGCAAGAAACTCCATTCGTTACTCTTTTAAAAAAGTATGTTCTACAATGTCTCTGATACATATTTCAATACTGTACGCATATGTAAGAACAATGCAAAGACACGCTTGACGCATTATACTACTAACTTACTAAAATAAAAATAAAAATAATAAAGATCTTAAGTCCAACATGGTGCTCACATATGCATACTGACAATCCATAGAAATAGTGCTTCTATACAAGAAAAAGGAAACTCTTTGTTTCAATAAAGAAAGAAATGCTCGATGCCATATGGAAACTAGATTGTCTACATTAGAATTAAAGTATTAAATTATGTATTATATTACCTACTATTGGAATTTAACTACTGACTACATTTGAGTATTGTCCAGTGGAGCCGAACCAACATGCTGCCAAGCATTCTTATCTTCAAGATAATCTGTCAGTGTGTAGTAAGCTTGATTACATAATTCGCGCTTAATATATGTTTTAAATTTACTTTCATTGAGATCTAGTATGCTATTTGGTATTTTATTATAGCATTTAATACATAAC